GCATGTAGACAGGTATATAATCAAAGAAAATAAGGATAGTGAACTAGGGTTAAAGTATATAATACAGTAATCTATGGTCACTCGCTAGGCGCTTGTAGAGTTGTCACGTGTTGTGTTGATTAAAAAAAAATCTCTTGATAAAAATATTCCGTCGTGTGTACTTAGATATTGTACAAATAATTCAAGAAATGTCAGTAAAAACCAAGGAATTACTTTTCATCGATTAATAAGATACTTAATCGATAAAAAATAGAATTAGATTAATAATAAAACAAATTATTCCTAAGACGCCATCTCGTGTCATGGAATATAGATTATGAAATTAATATGTTCAGATGCGACATTTCTGTGGGTACTTAAGTATACGTCGAATATATTATACACATTTTCTTTGTAGAAAATTTCTTTGTAGAATTTTTTGTAAAAGTTATTTATTATAAATAATTAGGCTAAATTTTTCATATTCAAATCTGCTTTACTTATTCTTTTATTTTATTTTTAGGTTTCCACATCAAAGTGCAATAAATTCGTCCATTTTTAGCGTTTATTAAAAATAATTAAAAATTATTGTCATATTATACCAGTAAAATTGTGGATTTTCGTGAAAACTCTATGTAATGTTAATAAGATGAGTATGATACATAATGATTTCTTATATTTACGCGAACACTATACATTGATTAAAACTACTTTTACGGATTTTATCGCGTTTTATTTATATTATTTGAAGCATCAACGTTCCGGGAAATCTGCAGTTTGCGATCATATCCTAGATGGCCCCAACCATTACATCAGATTTGATAGACCACAAATCCTCGCGAAAGAACATCGATTCCTACCAAGGATGATACGTGAGGCTATTGAAATTAAAAAACATCCTAATTTCAATAGAGAAGGAGGCTGGGTACTACCACCTGCTTGGGATCCTATAATTAATAAAATTAAAACTAAATCCAAGCATACCACTGCAAGACTTCAAAACACAGTTAGTTCATTCTGCGTATATCGGACCAAAGACAATAATTAAAAAGCTGAAGGTACTCCGGGTTAACTTTGACATCGGGACGTCAGTCACCTCAGTCCCCCGTGACGATGGGTGCTGAAAAGCACCCGAAACGTCGGGTATTAAAAATATAAATAATATAAATAAAACGCGATAAAATCCGTAAAAGTAGTTTTAATCAGAGTACGATACACGTTTGTTTTGTAAAGTTTATTACATTGTTTCCAAAAATAAAAGAATATATCCATTAAAATTTTATTTCTCATATCCATTTAATATTTACAGTTTTATAGATATGAGTATTTTCATTATAATGCAACCCACACTGACGGTGATAGATTTCAACAACGCCAGCGAATATGCCATTAATTTTTTTTAACCGTTTAAAGTACATCTCGCGCCGGCGAGACAAATTGCCTCACATTTTCATATTACTATGTACCCAATGCACTCGCTCACAAAGCGCTTGCAGTCAATATGACCTTCAACGAAGGCGGCTGTAAAGGCAGGCATTGACTACAGCCGAGGCGAATCTCATCGTGCGCGTCGAACTGAGCCGAATCGCCTCCTGGGTGCGTTAATCACTGACGCGTCGCGTCGAATCGAAATGAATCCTCTAGTAGTTATTTGCCCGTGTTCCGAGTTGGAGATTGTGATAAATTAACGATGGATAGCTCGGATGAAGAAATGTTTTTATTTCAAATTCTATTTGATGAAGAGAGTAGAATAAAAAAGAAGCAGCGGTCAGTAAAATACTGGGTCCATGATATCAACAGAAAAAGAAATATCCACGGAGAGTTTTGCGATTTGTCTGATCTACAAAAGGACCCAAGCAAATTTTTCCAGTACTTCCGAATGACCTTTGAAAAATATCAAGAGTTACTGAACATCCTGGATCTGAAGAAACAAAACACAAGATTTAGAAAGCCTATTCCGTCAGAAGAACGGCTAGCTTTATGCCTAAGGTATGATAAAATAAAACAATTTTTTACTTGAAAATTCTTTATTTATTTCCATTATCAATTTTCATAGTGATATTTTATTTTTGAAATCGAATATATTCGTTCAATGGACTTGCATAGTTTTGAGTTTGCGATTGCAACGGGGATGTTGCCATTTGCGAAGTGCCTTCAACAGATTGAAGTTGACTGGTATTTAAAATTATATATGACTGTCGTGAACTAGATCCATCAACATCTGTTGCATATTCTTGCCTGCTTGAAGAACCTGATGCAATAGGGGTTGACATGTTAACAGTCGCATTTCTTTGAATATTTTCTTCTTCCGCTTCACAAACGATATTGAACACGGCTCTTTTCACACGTAATCGCAAATCTGGAAAAAACTGCGACACAGTATGGCCAAGATTTTTAAAAAACGTTATAATGGGATCCTCTTCTTCTTGTCTGTCATGACTGTATTTTTTATCCAAGTAAGACTGGAAAAGGGATTGCGTACTACCAGGTAGACTTTCTGTTGGTTTTTTTTTCTTCGGTGGTGGCGTTTTTGATATAGGTGATCCGGGCGACATTGTTGATGATCCATGTGCTGGCGAAGCAATGTTGACTGAACTGGATGAAGTGAAGCTATGTTCTTCATCATCACTTAATTGTGCAGGAACGTTTGAGAGAGATTGCGATTCAGCATGTATATACGGCGTGAGAAAACTCAGCTCCTTGGCAAATCGAATGGGTTTAAAATTTTTCGCCGCTTGGCCACTTTTTGTTTTCCTTAAATTACTTGCCTTTCTAAAATTTTCGCGTATCTTCTTCCATTTTTCTCTGCATTTTGTTGCTAGAATAAAATACATTTGTTATTTTTTAATATGAACAGTATAATATGAGCAGTAGTTAACATCATACAACAGATAATAAAAGGTGTTTAATATTTTTTTTTTCAGATTTCTGGCTACGGGCAATTCCTTTAGATCGTTGGCATTTAGCTTCAGAATGGGAGAGAAAACTGTAAGAACAATTGTGTATGAGACTTGCAAAGAAATATGGAATAAACTACAACCCAAGCCTCCGAAAGAACAAGAATGGAAAGAAATTGCACATGCTTTCTACGATAAATGGAATTTTCCAAATTGTATCGGTGCATTGGATGGTAAACACGTAGTAATAGAATGCCCGCCAAATACTGGTTCAAAATATTACTGTTATAAAAAAAACATTTTCGATTGTGTTTTTAGCATTAGTTGACGCCAACTACAGATTCATATTTTTGGATATAGGTGGCCTTGGCAAAAACTCAGATGGCTGCATATTTGCTAACTCTGCTTTAGGAAAGTCATTGTTCAAAAAAAAATTAAATGTACCGAGTAATGAATGTCTACCAGGCACAGAGGAAGCAATGCCCTATGTCATTGTTGGGGATGCTACTTTTCCACTCCAAACGTATTTAATGAGACCATATCCAGGCAATCAAACAGTAAATAACGAGGGAAAAAAAGGTTTTCAATTATCGCCTGAGTCGGGCTCGTCGCGTCAGTGAAAATGCTTTTGGTATACTTGCCAGAAGATTTAGAATTTACGAAAGAAGATTGTCTTTGACTCCTGACCATGTTAATATTGTCGTAGCAGCAACATGTTGTTTACATAATTTTTTGATAAATAGCTCGACATATTGGTCTGATGAAGATTTGCGGGAAAATGTAGCAAGCGGTGGATTAATTAATTTATGACAAGTCGGCGGCAACGCATCAACAACAGTACTTGAAATCAGAGAGAAATTCAAAAATTATTTCATGTCTGAGATAGGTTCAGTTCCATGGCAAACGAATGTTGTAAGGAGGGGATTTCAACGTACGCAAATTGTTTAGTTTATAAGTTCCATAAAAAAAATCAGTTCAGCCGTTTCAAAGATTACCTCAGACAAACTTCAAAACAAACAGACACACAGACAAAAATTGTACTTAAAATTTCGGAGTTTTTTTGTAATCACACAGCATCACCCAATTTTATTAATATAAAAGTTTAATATTTATCTTAAAAATCTACTTATAAAAGAGAATTTATAGATCAATATACATGCAATAAAAATTATAACCCTAATTTCTTACTTCTAAGCATCTAAAATGGCCAAAACATCTAAGCAACAATGTTTTCAATTTTATGTCAGACGTCATAAAGAACGTCGTTAAAAATTGAAATAAGAAAATATATTGAAAAAATTCTTGCTTTGACAACTATACGCATACTCCAATCGCGTACAAATAGGTATATGACTTTTTGAATGTGAGATCAATTTGGCTACCATGTTTTCTAACATCATTTTGTTGCAAACTGTAGGTACCTAGTTAAAAGTTATTTGCAAACATACAAAAAATCATCACCACCGGGAATCTAACAACAGAAGTCCCTCGAGCAACTACATTAACAATAATAAAATACAATACAGAAAATAAAATATACTGATATAATTAAAAGTCTAAGTAAATAACTCACGTGTTTCATTCATAATCTTAGATATCTCCTCCCATATATTCATCCGACGCTAGTCGTCATGGTAACGTGGATCTTCTTGATTGTATAATTCAGAGTAGGATTGAACTAATGATATCAAAAGTTCTTCATTCATTTTAAAAATGACGAAAAATAGACGTAATTAATAAAGACACGCTTCCGCACCTCTGCGTCGACTGAGGCGCGCCGAGCAGAGTCGCAACGCGCCGGCGCAAAAAATCGCTCGACGAGCGATGCGCGCGAGAGATTCGGCTCGGCGCGCCGCGGCTCTTCACAGATGGACGCAATTTCATAGTAAATATATAGGGAGCGAATTTCTGCGCTTCGATTCGATTCGACTCGGCGCGCCTAGTCGACGCCAGCCTTAAGAGCATGCCGTGCTACACGTACAGCGAAACGGACCCGATCGATTTTAAAACGCCCACCCAATACGCTTAGCCCGCTTACTACAATTTGTGGGTGCCGAAAACGAAGTTCAGGCACCAAACTGCGTTACACGTCTGGAATGCCTCTTAGTTGACACCATGACTAAAATGTACTTGAACACACCGTATTTGCGCATGGACGAACATGTCAGGCCCGGCTTTAATGTCGCATATGATCCTGATGAACTTTTTTCCGCAAGTACAAGCTTGAAGAGCAAGTCAACGAAGATAAAGAGATGGTAATTATTGAATACATTCCTCAACACAAAGTTGATGATGAACGATCGATTGGAAGGACTTTCTCAATGATAGATAAAAATGGTTTGTCATGGGAAGACTTGGTGATCGGGCTTAAGGCTAAAAAAAGAGAGTTGTAACTGATAGGCAAGTTGTTCACTCTTTTGTCTTGGAGAATGCGAGAGTACTTTGTAGTCAAAGAATACCTAATCAAGTGTCACCTTGTTCCGCTCTTCAAAGGCTTGACCAAGACGGATGACCTGACCACCTTGACACCTTGAAGACAAAGGAGATCACCCCGGAGCAGGGGCTGTCTGATTATAGTAAAGTTTGCATTGCCAATCACTTAGATTATGAAAAATGGACTAACCACCAGAGGAAGGAGTAAAATGGACCTATATTTCGGGTTATGGGACAATTTTAAGGATATCCCAACCTCATAGAGCGGACACACTAGTTTTTTGTAAACAGCCTCATCTATTATAATGATAGACCTGATCTTATGGAAGTGGTAGGAGACAGTCTACAAAATAGGACAGATAAGCTCGTTTGTTAGAATGGTCAACGTGGAGGGTTAGAGGAGTTGCGTCAAAAGTGATGGTCAATCGTAAACTTACTCGTCATCAGGAGGGAAGGACTTACTCAAAACACAGATATTAAGACGCTATCTCAGGATGACAACCAGGTTATTTGCACAAACTATAAGCAGCAGACCCATAGAATCTGCGTCATCCCCAGTTATATTTTGTTCATTGACAATCGTGTTTTCTGCTCAAGAAATATGGTCCTCCTGATGAAGGACATCTGCTCGTCAAGATTTCATACACTACATGGATTTTAACGATTCTCTCTATTTCTCTGTTACCTTTCACGTCTAAACAGCTTAATCAATTAATAGGATAAAGGATACTTTTTATTTCGAAAATCATCCCCATAGAAATAGAAACAGAAACTTTTTTATTCAATATAGATTATAAAAAATACTTATTGAAAGTCACTTTTTTCATTTACCACTGGTTCGCACAAAAAAAAACCTCTGTCCTAGGAAGAACCAGCAAGAAACCCAGCGGGACTATTATTTTTTTTTTCAAATAATAGCTTACAATCATGTATGTTACAATTAACAACACAAAACAAATTAGAAATAGCTTGGTAGCGATCACCCTTCCCAGGGGTTATTATCATCCATAAATTCCTTAATATTATAATAACCCTTTTTATACATACTTAGTTTAATAATGTTTTTGAACTTTGTGTATGACAAATTTGTAAAAGCGTATACATAGCTCCAAGAATGAATTACTGACTCGGTGGAGTCGAGTAACTGGTACTACTAGCTTGTGTCTATTCCTAGTATTTACAGTATGAATATCACTTATTTTTGCAAAACTACTTTTATTTTTGTGTACGTACATTACATTTTCATAAATGTATTGAGAGGCCAGAGTTAATAAATATATTAATTTCCTTAAAAAATTTTCTGAGCGACTCTTTTGGTTTTGGGGGATAAGTCGCTCGCGTTCGTAGACTTTGACCACCTATTCCTAGGCCCACCCTACACGTGTCCCCCGGGTGGTGCTAAATAAGCGGCAAGCCGATAGCACAGACTCGGCTCCACGCCGTGGTAGCGGTGTAAAATATACAACCCCATATTTCGCACCATGAGGAACCAAAGAAAAGAAATGGCCCTGAGTTCCCGGCGCCCCTTGAATGGGGCAGGGGTGCGAAGAATCTCTGGGAGGAAAACCGGCAATGAGGGTCGCCACCCGTCACGTTCTGTCTCCCAGAGAGGCGAAAAGTGGATTGCAGAGGCCCGTCTGGCTACGTTGAATGTATGTGGGGCAATGAATGATAAAATGGATGAAGTATGCGATATGATGTATGATAGAGGAATAGATGTATTATGTGTAAATGAGACGAAAAGGAAGGGGAAGGATGTCACTGCACATGGCATGTATACCGCATACTGGTCTGGTGCAGACGAGATCGAGCGGGCATGCCAGGGAGTAGGTATCATCCTTTCAGAAAGAATGGGCCAATGTGTGAAAGAGTATGAATGTGTAAGCCCAAGATTGCTATGGATACGAATGAAAGTGGGCTTAAAGAAGTTGTTTGTGTTAGGGGTCTACGCCCCAGACATGTCTAAGCCCACTTATATCCGAGAGCAGTTTTGGGAAATGGTAAGGATGGTGATAATGAAGTGTAAGGGAAATGAAAATATTATTATGCTAGGAGATTTTAATGGAAGGGTTGGGGTGAGGAGGCTTGGTTATGAAAGGATATTGGGAACGTTTGGTGATGAAAGTATAAATGAGAATGGTGAAAGTCTCCTCACCGTACGTATGGAAAAGAATCTTTTTGTGACGAACACTTGTTTTTGCCACAAGAGGATTCACATGTATACTTGGGAAAGAGGTGACGATAGAAGCATGATAGATTTCATAATTGTGGATGAAAGATTGAGGGGCGCAGTGGTAGATACAAGGGTTTACCGGGGTTCTAACGTAGGAACGGATCATTATTTGGTTGTATGCCGAATTAATGGTCTCAAATTCAAATTCAAATTGTTTATTGCATGTCACATTACGAATTTAAGATGGTAGAATTTTGATAGCTATACATGTGACGCCCCGCAAGGGCATAACAACACTAGAGGGCTAACTACTTTCGTATTATCTAATTTTTAAACATAAATTACAAATTATCATATCATCAACATTCAATATTATTTTATATAAATTAATTTAATTTGAAACACAATGTATAGTCTAAGTATTCTTACTTTATCGTTATCTATCTTCAAAAAATTCAGTTATATTATAGTAACATTTATTAATAAGAAATATTTTTAATTGTTTATTAAATTGCACAGGATTTTCCAGGATTTTTATGGAATTCGGTAAATGGTTATAAATCTTTATTGACATAACGTGAGGGCTGTTTGAAACTAATTTTAATTTGGAGAAGGGTATCTTAAGCTTATATAAATTTCTATTATTTCTTTTAGTCTATTTACTAGGTGAGTAGAGTTTTGGGTGTTTTCTAACAAATTTACAAGATTCGAGGATGTAGATAGATAGTGTTAAGTGTTAAAATTTTATTTTTAATGAAGTGGGGTTTACATGACTCCATTTTGTCCAAATTTATCAATATTCGTAGACACTTCTTTTGTAATATAAATAAATTGTTTATATCACAAGAGTTTCCCCACAAGATGATGCCATAGGAGAGTACGGAGTGAGCATGTGCATAGTAAGCCGCAAGGGCAGTCTTAAAATCTGTCACACGTTTAAGGTGTTGCAGTGCATAAATAAATGAGGATATTTTTTTTGCAACTTTTTGTACTTGCTGTTTCCAACTCAAATGTGTGTCCAGGTCTATTCCTAACAAAGTGCCAGAGTTAACAGTTTCTAGTTTTGTATTTTTATAGTTAAACGATATTTGTAAACCAGTTTTTTGGTAGGGTTTAAATTGAATAATTTTAGTTTTATTAAGGTTAAGTTGTAAATTATGTAATTGTAGCCAGCCAGTAATTTTATCTAATGTATAGTTCAATTTTGTAGTTAAATCTGTGGCATTAGTGCAAGAGATTAAGATGGAGATGTCATCTGCAAAGAGCACGCATAGATCGTCCAGTATGTTTGGGAGATTATTTATATAAATAAGAAACAAAATACAACCTAAAACGCTACCTTGAGGGATAGAGCCAGTAATTAGAGTTGCATCCGATCTGACATGAGTAATTTTGCCTATCTCGAAGTCGGTATTTTCAATTTCTACATATTGGAAGCGGTTATCAAGATAGGATTTGAACCAATTATGAGCTATTCCCCTAATTCCTGTTTGATACAGTTTATCCAATAGAGTTCTATAACAGACTCTGTCATAGGCTTTACTCATATCGAGCAAGAGGCCTACTGCGATTTTTTATCGTCGATTTTGTCTAGGATGTTTTTTACATATTTATAAATTGCTAAGGTGGTGGAGTGGAGGTGGTGGAGGTGGTCTGTTCAGGCGTTGGCGCCATCGATCATCTGTGTCTACCACTGCGTTACAGCGTATTAGAACAGAAAGGTTACAAGATGAAGGTGAGAAAAACAAGTTCAAATGTAGACTGAAAGAAAATATAAGTGGTTTGGATGAATTATCTATGAAGGAGTTAGACTTGGAGAATGTATGGCAAAATGTATTGAAAGGTTTATTGGATGCAGCTACCGAAGTATGAGGTGTTATTAAGAGAAAGAATGATAGGAACAATAATACGTTATGGTGGGATGATGAGATACGTATGGAAGTTGAAGCAAAGAAGAGAGCATGGCTAGATTTACTAGCAACAAAGGCTGGTAATTCTAGCGGTACGTATGATGATATTGAAAGAAAAAAGGCAGTCTTTAGACATCTAAATAAGAGAGTTCTTGGCACTATACCAAGGGAGCAGGTCTTTTTGACGATTTAAATTTTTAGTTTTAGATTTTCTATATTATAGTTTCTTCTTTTATATTGTATATAATTAGTATTAATCGTAAATATTATAATTTTAATTATTATTTTAGTTAAGTTCTTTATTATAATTTTTGTAATATAAATTAAATGTCTATATCGATTATAAAAAATATATATATATAACCCTGAATTTAATCGAAATTGATTTCATTAAATTCGAATGAAAAATAAGAGAGTAAAAAAAGTAGTTGAAAGAAAAAAGCAAGAAAGAACAGATAATAATGATAGAAGAATATCGGATAACTTCCAGGCAAATATTAAAACGTTGTGTAAACTTGTAAAAACATTCAAAACAGCCTATGATGAATGCTATAAAAGACGAGAATGGCTATATTCTGAATGATGAACTTTTGAGTTTAAAGAGATGGAAGGGATATTTTGAAAGCGTGTTTATGAGTGAGGAGACAACGTGTGTACTAAGTGAAGTAGAAACTCCGAAAGAAGAGGAAAGAGGTAGCGAGATAAGTATAGATGAAATAATGAAAGCAATGTAAAGCATGAAAGTAGGTAAGTCTGCCGGATATGATAGAGTTTCACTCGAAATGCTAAGGGCTGGAGAGGAAGTGGTGGCAGGCCTGCTGCACACCTTGTTTAATTTATACTGGGAACTAAAGCGGGTACTACCGGTAGACTGGTGCAAAGCCGTGATAGTCCCAGTATATAAAGGAAAAGGTTCGCAGCAGGACTGTAAAAACTACCGTGGCATCAGCCTTCTTAGCATTGTGGGAAAACTGTATGCTAAGGTACTGATTGAAAGGGTCATGAAAGAAACTGATGGAAAAATTTGGGATGTGTAAGCGGGTTTTAGAAAGGGAATGGGATGTACGGATCAAGTCTTTTCCATGCGCATGATCGCGGAGAAGTTTTTGGCCAGAAAACAAAACGTTTTTTGTGCGTTCATGGACTTGGAAAGGGCCTATGACAGAGTGGATAGGGATGTGCTATGGCAAACACTGAACTCATTTGGGTTGAGCGCTGGCTTGATACAGGCATTGGAGTCTCTTTATAGGGACTCTAGTGCTTGTGTTAGGATCAATGGGGTCTACTCGGACTGGTTTGACATCCATAAAGGTGTCAGACAGGGCTGTGTTGCTTCCCCGTGGCTGTTCAACCTATTTATGGACAGTTGTTTGCAAATTTGAAAGTTGAAGAATGCGGATTAAGAATGGGTGAGTTAACCGTCAAATGCCGTTTGTACGCCGATGATCAAGTTATTCTTGTGTCGTCGGCGGCCGAGTTGCAAATGATGGTATCATTAATGAACAGATCATTAAAAGAAAGGGTTATGAAAGTAAACGAAAGTAAGACGAAGGTTATGGTTTTTCAAAGAGAAGAAAGTAAAACGATTTGTGAAATAAGAATAGAAAGGCAGTTGATCGAGCAAGTAGATGAGTTTGTATATTTGGATTGCGTATTTAGCAGGGATGGGAGATATGATAAGTATATAGAACGACGAGTGAATGCGGGAAATAGAGTAAATGGGGCCCTGCACTCTATTGTGAAGAGTCAAAAATGTGTCGAAAAAGGTACGTATGGCAATGCACAATGCTGTTGTGGCCGTGGAAGGAAAAGGGGAGATCTCCCGCCGGGCAAGGTGTTCTGCCCGGGGAGCGGCTCACACTCCGTGTGATAGTTCGGAGATGTTCTATATATACTGTTTATGATTCGAAATGTTGATAGCGCGATTTAGGCTTCGGTGTGTTTTCGCTTGTGGCGGCGACGACAGCGCCGTTGCACTGTGTTGGACCCTACTTTAACGTATGGTAGTGAAAGTTGGGTGTGGCAGAAGAAGCACGAGAATAGAATGAACGCAGTAGAAATGCGGTCGTTAAGGAGTATGTTAGGGCTGAATCTGAATGACAGGGTAAGAAATTGTGTAATAAGAGAAGAGTGTGGTTTGCAAGATGATGTTGTGACCAGGATTAAGAAAGGAATGCTTCGGTGGTTTGGTCATGTGGAAAGAATGAATGAGGAAAGAGTGACAATGAAAATTTATGTTGCAGAAGTGAATGGCAGAGTCGGAAAGGGTCGTCCTAGGCGAAAATTTATCGACCAAATTGGCGATTTATTGAAAACGGGCCAAATTAGGAGTACCCTTAACCGACGAGCATGTATGCGTAGGTGTATGGATGTGAAGGAGGCGAGAGAGGTGTGTCAGGATCGTGCCAAATGGAAGTCTGTAGTCTCTGCCTACCCTTCTGGGTGACAGGCGTGAGTGTTTATGTATTATGTATGTTATCTTTTGGTTTTGAATCATATATTGTTCTAATGGCCCTTTTCTATAAAAAAATATAATTTCAGTGTCAGTCGCGTGTCCCCATAGCAAAATACCATACGACATAATGCTATGGAAATAGCTAAAGTAAACTATTCTAGCTGTTTCAACACTGGTAAGAGTTCTAATTTTCTTACAGCATATGCTGCCAGTTTGCCATAATGACCAGTTTGTATAAAATATTATTAAATTTATTATACGAGACCTCATACGTTTTTGTTCGGCCGAATATAATTCAAATTAAAGGCACTCAAAGGTTTTAACAGCATTAATACAAACACAATGATAACGGTGCTTATAACGCTAGTGATAATTATTCTTCTCATTATGCTCTTCCATTCACTGGAACGGTAACATGTCGCCCGATTCGCAAAATAATCAACAAAATGGCGGCGTTGGTAGTGATGGCGGTACACACACGGATGACAATGAGAGCGAACTCTTACGTTAACACGTTCTAACGCGTTCTATCGCCTTTGAAACCTATTTATTTTGACGATATCGAATATATGTAACAATAGTCCAATTTTAAAACACGAAAAATCTACTAATGTTTTATCAGGACCGCTTACTACTCCAAAGTGATTAGATTTACCAAATTTGTCGCAAAATTTATCAGATGATAACAACAGCGCTTTAGATTCAAGCAGCACTGCAAAACAAAATGATGAAGATAATAATCAAACCGATGACGTAACGGATGATGAAGAAGATGAAAACCCAGAAAAATCCGATCAAGATAAATTCGATGACGATGTAGATCATCAAATCGAGAGTAATGACGACGATGACGACAACTACGACGCAGATAAAAAAGAGATAAAACTTAGTGAAAACAATACAATTATCGTATAACACAAAACTATTAACAATATAATTAAAACAATTCGAGAACGTTATAAAAATATAAAAAGAACAGTAACGAGCCGTACCTGTCTGCAGATATTTATAACGCCACCAAAATTTTTAAAGCAAACCATCGAAATGAATAATGATTATTCACCCATAGAAAAAAAATACAAAATTCACCAAACACATTACAGATACAAGCTATTATATGTTTTTGATGTTCGTTCCACAAAACTGTGATACAGAATATAGGATTCAGTATTTAAATTGTGTAATCAATATACAAAGAATACAATAACAATTATCATCAAATCGATAACTTTGTGTATGTTGTTACTACTTCGTGTACGTTGTTCTTTAGGGAGATTTAGATTTTTAATAACGCTCAAGTAGTTTAATTCATTTAAACATTCAAATATCTCAACAGGAGCAATTTGATGAAATCGAAATTCAAAACAGCAACGATAAATGTCACTTTCATGAAGTAAAAGATTTCGAGTTCTTGACCTATTTGACAAATTACTTTCATCTAGACAAAGTGTACAAGCGAAAATGACCCTTTTTTTGCATCTCTTCGTTTCAACAAATTGTTGAATTTGATTAGCGATAAAACCATCTTTACGTTGCCGTTTGACGTGTGCCGTGACGAAAGTTTAATTACTTTACCCATAACTGAAGAGACTAGCTTAAATGTAAAAATATCATTGAACATACCAAAAAATTTTAAATTTAAAGATTTATCCAACGCTAGAACCTCCAAGGAATTGAATTTGGAATAGATAATGAACTCTTGAAATATCTAGCTACAACCTACAAAATCGTCATCTAAAAAGAAAAATGACAATGAAAAAAAGTTACATACAAGTACGGCAGTATTGTGCATTGAGGTATTACTACTATGTATAGAGAAGACAACGCCTTGCATGATTTTGCGCCACGCTTTGCGGTACAATGTACTGCAACTGTTTAGTGACTGTCCAACGCCCGCACAGACGAGTCGTGTTCGCTTCGCATAAATAACAACTTCAAAATGCCTGGTTGTGTTCTTAAAGAGTGCAGTAAACACTCCAGAACATCAAAATAGTGATGGTTTAACATTTCATCGGTAAGTAGTAAAACTCTTTGATTTAAAGTTTTTCGCGTTGTTACATGCAAAATGTAAAATCTATGGGAGCGACTTGTTGTACTCTACGTTGAACGATACGCGTAAGCGCCATGAAATTCCTGGCGCTTATGACGTTTTGGTCGCGAGAAAACTAATCCTTAATGCAAACTAACGCTACATGTTTTAATAGTTTGGTTAGACGACATAACTATTATTTTAGCGCTGCAGCGAACTTTAGTTCTAACTCTTACCAAAATGAAGCAAACGTTTGGTTCGGTGTGTCTGTTCTATACGCTAGTAATATAGTTCGATGGTATTGTGCGGCTTTTTTACGACCATAGTAAGATCAGTCAATTGATAAAATTTTAAAAATAAATAAGCAGGCACCTCGGCACTGATTAAAACTTACTTAAATACGTGAAAAGAACGCCCGGACCACGACAATTTAATATTGGTGTCGAATAAAACCAACGATGAATGCATCACCGTTATCAAAAACGGCGACACGTTCTTTTGGATCACGTTATTTATAAAAGACATAATTCCATCATAAGTAATAGATAATTACAAAGGTTTCAAGCACTACATTTTTACGTTGAATTACATTAACAGGAAAGAACTCAACAACCGACACAACGGCACGATAAATTATTGTCATATTATACCAGTAAAATTGTAGATTTTGATAATGTTAAAAAAATTGCAATAGAAAAATTTGATTGTAATTTTAAAATTAATCCCTATAGACGATAAAAGATATCTCTGCGACATATGTCAAACTGATATTCCTAGGATTATCAGGATATAAAAAAAAGACGTGTGGTACTCGGGGACTGCCGCGGTAAAGCTATTACATAGCATTTTGTATCAGCTTATGCAATTATAATTATTTATTTATTTTATTTATGCAGTATTTATTTTTCTTTGATATTAATTCAAGTTATACTTTTTAAGCGTGGTGACCGATAAGAAAACAATTTTTTTTTCTTTTATTAAATTAATAAATAATAAATGCACTTTGTTCATTCATATTCAAAACACTTTATACACAAATTTTACAAGTACAGCTATTCACTGTTGTACATAAATACCTATACACCTATATACTTTCTCATAAACAGCTGCTTATGTATTCGTCCGATTTCGGAGCAGCTCGTCTCGATTCGTGCGAGCTTCGTAGAGTCGTACAATACGTCTAGTTGCACGCACACAAACACCGTGTCGAAGACTGCCGAAAAAAACGACGTTAGACATGCACGGCCTTCAAGCCACACCTCCATGCCCGTCGGAGTGGGGAGCGTGAGGTTTTTTCGTTACGGAATTTCTGGATTCGGTCCCCGCGCTCAAGGCCCGCGATAGAAGCTATGCAATAGCTTAAATTGTCGATAGAAATTATCGATGTTTCTTACTATTATCGATGCTATTGTAACATACAATAATTGGGTTTAATTTAATTACAAACGTTACTAACTTAAACGAATATTTTTAATATAAAATGCATTTATTCTCTTAAAGGAGGGAATGCAATCCAGCACCCAAAAGATAATCTTGCAAATCTGCAAGATTGAGACCATCAGTCCCGCGGATCCGCAAGATTTGCAGGATTTTACCTTTGACCTGACTTTTACCTCTTTAGCTGCGTTAAAGTATTTTGTTGTGAATGCTGCTGAGAACAGCTTGTACTGCGGTTTCACTATCACTCACGCTACGTACTGATTCCTCCGTTATCTTATACTTCGTACGCAACTGTACTTGCAGCCCTTAGTAGAAAGGGCGCTTATTTTGATGATAGAAGGACAACGTTTACACTTAGCAAAAATGCCATCTTTCGATCTTAAGAAGTGCTGCCATACAAATTTATTACTGTCGTATTTCTTATAAATTACTTTAGCATTCATTTTTAAGTTCCCGATTACAACTTTACTTATAGCCAATTATTAATTAATTAATTTTATTTAGATAGAATTTTGCGGTTCAAATATAAAAATAAACCGTTTAAATTTATTTCAATTTAAATCGCATGTCACAAAGTACGCACTAGTACGCACGCAATACGTCACGAACTCACGAGTCAAAACTGAAATAGGGCAAGCATTAGTGGAGTATCGACAGATATTTTGGGGAATCAACTTTTGATGGTGGCACCAATTAGGTCGGCATGCCCATAAAGTATGACATTGACAGGTACTGTCTGTACTACTAAGAAATTCAGGACTTCATAGGCGTGATTTGACTGACAGCTGTCGCAGAGATCAAGCTATCTTTTATGAACTGTAGTAATAGTGATGAAAATTCTCTATGGAATGTTAATTAGATGAGTATGACATGTGTGTTTTGTAAACTTTACTACATTGCTTTAAAAAATAATAGAATATATCTATTCAAATTTTATTTCTCATATCCATTTTATATTTACACTTTATAGACATAAGTATTTTCATTATGATGCAACCTATACTGACAGCGATAGATTTCAACAACGCCAGCAAATATGCAATTAATATGCACCGTTTAAAGAACTCTAAATCACGCGCTGAAGAGCCAAATTGCCTCACACTTTGATAGATTATGAAATTAGACCAACCACCAACGACGATTACTAAGTAGCAATGCAATCGCGCACAAAGCGATTGCGTTCAATTTGACCTTCAGCGAAGGCGGCTGTGAGAGCATGTCGTACTACCCGTACAGTGAAACGGGCCCTTATGAATATGAAATGGGATATTATGAAATCAGAACCAGAAAAATATCAAGATTAACCTTTGTGATGTTAAGACACGCTATTTATGTAACGCTCTTATTTTTACGGGCAAAGCACTCTAACAGAAGAAATCAAAGTTCAATTCCAACACAGACGTGCAACTTGTGGATCTTTTATTCAGAACAAATCGAAATATAACTGCTGATAACTCGTTCACCTCCGTGAACATGGGTGACAAACTTATCTAAAATGGCTCGACTTAGTTTGAAACAATGGGAAAAAACAAAAGAGAAATACCACCAGATTTTTTCCCAATAAACGACGAGAAATAGGATCGAAGATATTTGGTTTTATTAAGGTTAAAAAAAACATTGCCGTCATACGTACAAAAAAAAAATCAAGTTGTTATGATCTCATCAATACACCATCTCAGTTTAATCAATAAAAACAGTGGAAATCCAGAGATAATTGAATTTCATAATAGACAAAAGGCGATATTGATTTATTGGATTAAAAGTGTATTAGTAGTATTTAATCTCTAGAAGGACTCAAAGATAGCCTTGCGTAATTTTTTCGGCTATTATAAATATTGCGAATGCGAACTGTTTCGTTTTATGGAAGGCATCTAATAGTGATAAACGTATGAAATGTAACCAATATATAAAACAACCAGGATTAACTTTGATAACATCATCTTTCTTCGTCTCATCGGAGTACTCTTCATTTTTAATAGATTTGAGGAGTAGGATTGACAATTTTCTGGGATCATTTGATAAACCGCAATACGACCAACAACAAAAACATACACTTCCTACTCTAAATGGTTCACAAAAATCGCGAGGCGCCCTGGGCGTTATACGCAGTCGGGACTAGCGCGATGTAGGCGATTCAATGTTAAAGTTTTTTAACGCTGTTTAAGTAAATAGTTTTATATAAATACTTGTTGAAATAGTTTTTGTTTAGTGTTTAGTATATTTAATTGTAGGTAAAAATAGTTGTAAAAGTTTTAATGCATTTTAAAAATTATATATTATGTATATTACCTATTTGATAAATTATAATAGCATACCGTCGTTCCTACTATAACTGTTGCGTGGATGGATACTAAATGAAATGACCAACAAAAGGTTTCATATCATTTTTTAAGTTACCGAAGAATTTTGGAAGGAAATTATGAAAGGTGAACTTATTTAATTTTTT